TAAGCTACACAACTCAACACAATCATTGTAAGATACACAACTAAACACCATCAGTGTAAGCTACACAACAAAATATCATCATTGTAAGCAACACAACTAAACCTCATCGTTGTAAGCTACACAACCCAAACATCATCATTGTAAACTAAACAACTAAACAACATCATTGTAAACTACACACCTAAACAGCATACTTGTAAGCTACACAACCCAAACATCATCATTGTCAGCTACACAACTAAATATAATTATTGTAAGCAACACAACTAAACATCACCCTTGAAGCTACACAACTAAATATAATTATTGTAAGCAACACAACTAAACACCATCAGTGTAAGCTACACAACAAAATATCATCATTGTAAGCAACACAACTAAACCTCATCATTGTAAGCTCGAAACTAAACGTCATCAGTGTAAGCTAAGCAACTTAACATCATCATTTTAAGCTACACAACTTAACATTATCATTGCAAGCTACGCAACTAAACATCATCTGTGTAAGACAACTAAACATCATCTTTGTAAGCTACACAACCCAAACATCATCATTGTAATCTACACAACTAAACACCATCTGTGTAAGCTACACAACTTAACATCATCATTGTAAACTAAACAACTAAACATCATTATTATAAGCTACACAACTAACCATCATCATTGTAAGCGACACAACTAAACATCCCCCTTGAAGCTACCCAAATAAACATCATCATTGTCAGCTACACAACTAAATATAATTATTGTAAGCAACACAACTAAACCTCATCATTGTAAGCTCGAAACTAAACGTCATCAGTGTAAGCTAAGCAACGTAACATCATCATTGTAACCCTTGAAGCTACACAACTAAACGTCATCATTATAAGCTACACAACTAAGCACAATCATTGTAAGCCACACAACTAAATATAATTATTGTAAGCGACACAACTAAACATCACCCTTGAAGCTACACAACTAAACAACATCATTGTAAGCTAAACAACTAAACGTCATCAGTGTAAGCTAAGCAACGTAACATCATCATTGTAAGTTAAACAACTAAACATCATTATTATAAGCTACACAACTAAACACAATCATTGTAAGCTACACAACTAAACACAATCATTGTAAGCAACACAACTAAACATCATCTGTGTAAGCTACACAACTAAACATCATCATTGTAAGCTACACAACTAAACATCATCTTTGTAAGCTACACAACTAAACATCATCATTGTAAGCTACACAACTAAACATCATCNTCATCATCGTAAGCTACACAACAAAACATTATCATTGTAAGCTACACAACTAAATATAATTATTGTAAGCGACACAACTAAACATCATCATTGTAAGCGACACAACTAAACATCATCATTATAAGCGACACAACTAAACATCATCATTGTAATGCAAAAGTGTAAAGCATTGTGTGATTCACTGCTGTAAACCATCACTGTAGGCTGTACAACTGCCAACCTTTTTTGAGAGCTTTATTTGTCGTATATATGTGTCGTATTGATGAATCATAGCCGTCTACCCCCAACCCGGCGCTATCGATCTACCAGATTATTTGGTTAACTATTTGATCCGTCGCTATCAGTAGATCGCATATCCTTTGACCAAGTATGATTTTCATTTTTGAATATTGGACATATTTGTATTAGCATTTTATTGCAGGGTATGTATGAAACAAAATCTGAACGGCTGAAAGCCATAACCCTGTAGCTTATGTTATTTTGCTGAGAGAAAAGGCTTACATAGTAGATAGCTGAAACACAGTAGGGGTGGGGAAAGTAATAAAACCGAAACATGTACGTTTACAGTGTATCGTACAACTTGGAAATGAGTCGTCCTTGTTGGTTATTTTGTAAGTAAAGAAAATTGTTTAGACTGAAAGTGAGTCTTGTATTTAAAAAAGTCAACTAGCCTACTAATATTTATTTTTTTTTATTTTATTTTACAAGACAGTAATCATAATCGAACCTTCGTGGGTTTACATGATTTCTTAATAAATCTATCCCCATGTGGCTCGGTATACATTCCCCGTGATGGCATACAGAAGCAGGGTGCTCTTCCATCAATGCAATAATGGTTTACGTTCCGATGAATCGAAGGTTAATTGACCCGAACACATGTCTAAAAGGTCTTAACGCTAAAGTAATGTAAAGAAATGTGTTTAACAAATAATTAGTTAACTTTTCGTAATTCTTTGTCGCGTTATTCGTAAAACATGTCGCAAAAATGTAAAAGATAAATAAAAAATATTGCGTACTTATTTCGTACATGTACCGTCTCTTACGTGATTACACTCTTAGCTCAGTTATTGTACTTAAACCGTATTTAATGTCGAGAATTACGTTACGTTACGATGCGACAACCACTGCTTATTATTTAAACAAACATTCAACAGGTGTCCAGTTCACTCAACGTGTACAGCCATTATTTGCACTTAAAGCAATATATATTTTCAATAGAAATGTACAAATGTTTAGTTGACACCCGTCCTCTCGTATGACTGATTTTGTTGTACAAGTGTTATTGTAAGTATTGTGGTGCCTATTTCTCCATGATTTATGCGATATGATACCTTCGTGCTCACTGATCCTTTTACAACATTGTTAATGTTTTACTATAGCACATACAATCATTTAAATCGTAACGTCGTGAATATAACAACAACATAGTAAGGTTCGAATAAGTTTGATTTGAAAGAATGTTGGATCATGTCTTTCTTTCTATCATCACAGAAAACAATACTGCGTTCTTCTAAGGTTCATAGATCGAAAATAAAGAAGAGTGTTTGTGTGACTTTACAACGCATTGTCAGCTTGAACTGTAACGGCCCAGACATATGATATACCGCACACAACGTCTGTGTACCTAACGTGGCTGTTTGTTTAATGTCCTGTCACTACGTCTAGTGTTTGTTTTTGATTTTACGATTTTACGAATGAGTACAGGTGTATAATACTAGACACTCAGACTTTAATCTAAGAGATCCCAGTTCAAATGATTGTATTTTCACAGAGATGATATTCTAATGATTTTTCATTGTTATTGTTATTGAGTATTTTGCTTTATTTAATTGATTAATTTATCTATTTCTGTTATTGTTTCTCTATTACATTTACATTTTTTCCCTATTTGCTCAGGTTACAAAACACAATTAAAAAAGAAAAGAATATTTGAAGATTTTCAATATCATATCTTTGTTTTGTGTTTGTTATTTTTTTAGATCCTTTTTTCATTAACTGTTAAAGACATCCATAGAAACATCATAAACTAATAGCAATTTTATGAGCCATCCTTTGCGATTCGTCCTTCATTAAATTTAATCTGATTTGAAATGAAGGATATTTGTGATCACAACTTACACACACGACATTCTGTTATGTAATTATTGCTATATGCCTGTTTTATTGTGTAGCGTAAAGATTAAATAACTCAAATCAAAGTTGTTTGCTGTATCACTGTTTATGTTCGCACATTGTTCTTTGAACTTGGGTTTCACGCGCCTACCTTCTATTTTATCTGGTGTTGCATACTTTGGATTTCCAAATCTTTAGTCCCTAGCATCACTTATAAATTGTAGAAGGACGAAACAGCTGGATGAGGTGTGAATCATTTTTGGCACACTAAATACCTTACCAACATGTTTTAAAGGTGAAACTACCTGTGTGCGGGTTAAATTCACCCTTAAGCATGTACACTTAGTATTGTAGATTTTTTCTGGCGGATTGTTTAGTCCGTGAGGTTGGTCGTTATATCTGTAGCCTATAGTAGTTAAAACAAAGTTTTAAAACACCTTACATGATAACATGATTTCCGTGTACAAACATTTCTATAGCAATAATGATAAAACTGATGCTTGCAGTTCAAGAGACACTCTGAAATTGCTGTTTACATTTTTTTTCTGTCGTGCGTTGTTTTCTCTAACTATTGATATGTATTAAGAAGACTGATATTAATCAAGGGGAGGAAACTCGGATGTATAAGCCGTCAGATTATGTGCATATAGAGAAGGGAATAATTTGAGCATTTGCTTATATAAAACCAAATATGACATATTTTGTAAAACCTGACAAACAAAATAAGTGCAAAGCTATCGCTATTTCCTGTTGAATGAGTTACATCATATTTTCGTTGTTTGTGACTTTTAAATTTGCATAAATTCACACAATTTACATATTAAAGTGGTCGGATCGGTAATGCTATAACAGCAACGTTGATTGGTTAATTAATCCTATGAAAATACTTAATGCAGCACTCAACATTATGATACATGATAAATTCATAAGTGCTCCGTCCCTGCTGAATAGGAAGATAGCTTAAGCTTATGTGGCAGAAGGATTTTGTATATGTGGAACTGAGTATGGGAGTAAATATTAAAAACGGCACTGTCAATGTAAGCTTGGAATATAAAATGACTTATTCATTGCCACATTATATTGCTGAAACTTATACGGTATATGTTAACTGTTGTGTATTATATACTGTTACCAGTGTAATATTTATTCTATACAGTATATTATATATTGTATCGTGTTTTATATAGTCTGCATTTGTTGTATATACTGAATATAATGTAATATGTAACGTATACAGTATAATGTCTACTGTAAACGGTGTTATGAATAATGTCAACAGGGCTATATATACTGTTTGTTTGATATTTTTTGTGTTATAGTTATTGTATACAGTGTTGTATGTAATATATACCGGGTTATAAACTATATACGTGACTACATACTATTTAAACATTTACATTCCCTATATAGGCGATTGTATTACTGTAAACGTTCTTTTATTAGTGCACTAAAATGCAGAAATAAAATTGCTTCATAAATAACAAAGTACACCACTTTAAGCACAAACAGCACCTATACTAGATTATTGAACAAAAGGTACATAGAGTGCACATGAATTACTGTTTACATGTTTTTTTTGCGTCATTTATGTGTTTCTGATATAAATAAGCAAATTCAATATAACTGTAAATATGTTTAATCATATTGTGTATACGTCACTTTTTATATACAGATGGACACCGTTTAATTGTTCACTTCTTCCCTAAATAATAGCTATGTGAAATGATTACTACAATAGAATAGTTCACAAGTTAATGTTTATCATCAGAAAGATCATTATCATATATACATAATATATATAGACTTCAACTTCCGTTAAAAGGATGTATACAACTTTTAATACTCCGAGTGATTAGTCAATATTTCAGAAATGTCACGTTTTTTCAAAGGGAAAAGAAGCGTTTGACTCTTTCCCAGAAGTTCCTGAGACCTGCAATCAATGCATAAAATATTCCTTCACCATCTACATATTCTTGTCTATCTTGGTCATCGATTTCAACCTCTGCCTGGGCATGTGTCTGTTCATCGGCTACCTCTTCCCGGTAAATAGGGAGGGTTGGCTCCTCTTCAATATGACCTAATGGTGTCGGGCTTGCTTTTGGTTTCCTTTTCTTCCTATTTTCTAGTGTCACCTTTGTTGCTTTTTCAAACAGCTCATTTGAATAGCATTTTGAACCATTTTGGTCTACTATGTATTCAAACCTATTGAGTATTGCTTCGACTTGAATTTGTTTTTCTGTCGTTGATGCATAGTTATCCAAGAACATGTGCCCCCCTTTACAAAGTTTGAAAAACGTATCAACCTCATAAGGGATTTTTTTAAGAAATTGTTTCTCAGTTAAAAGTTGTCTTTTCATTTCATCTGCTTTTGTAAACACTACCATGGTGCGATCTACCATCGAGTCTCCAAATGTGCGTCGCAGTAGGTCTAGAGTAGAACGTTCTTCCGGTGTAAACCGGATGTTTGCCGGTATTGTGAGTAGAAACACATGTGGATCTGGGACTGCAATACCTATACATTTGATCAGTTCTGCATGTGTTTCCTCTGGAGGCAGATGGCTGTCAAACAGCCCGGGAGTATCAATAATCATTATGTTTCTGCTGTGTATGCATGCCCTAGAAAAAGAACAGTTCCTCGTGCCGGAAGTACTTCCTGGTTGCGAAATGAATGGTGCTCCTCCTAAAATAGTGTTCCCAGTAGAGCTTTTCCCAGACCCTGTCTTCCCGATCACAATGACTCTCATTTCCATAGCAAGTCTTCGCAATTGGTCTAAAGAAAGATAAACAAAACTGCATGTGGATTATTTCGTATTTTGTTCGAGATTTTTATTTCAAAGAACTGGTGTATCTACCTTGTTATGATTGGCAAAAACTGTAATCGGGGACAAATGGAAGATATACGAAACAGCAAACTGAGCTTTAACTAGTATTATATCCCTGTGTAAATCTGATTGCGACTTATAATCAATGCAATGACATGCTTAGTTATGTTTAACCTCCGTTGAGGTAGAACATTGTAATTTATCAACCCGAAAACGGTTTTAGTTTCCCCATTGTAACGATCGCAGCGAATGAGAATGATTCTTTATTTGAATACATTTACATAATGTTATATATAATTTCCAGGTGTCCTGGAAATGTTGGGATATTACGTCACGGCATGAGCTATTCAGAATGCAGGAAATTTGCATGTCATCAATCAAAAATACCAAAAATACTTATTTGGTTATTTTATTGCCATTTTGTTTGTTGAATAATATTTGAGTGTTAAAAGTATCGCAAATGATATGTGAAATGAACGGAAAAAAAACAACTTTGGTACCTCATGAGCTACCTGCATGTGATAGCAAAGTGTTGAGAATAAACATCTCAGTGACACAAATCAACATAACCATGGTCCAATGTGTTAGCTTGAAATTGCCTTGTAAGCATCTGAATGCACCTTCCCTTGATAAAACTGATTTAGTGTTAAATATCAATATTATACTTTATTACAAGAGTTCAATTTGCATAAATGTTTGCGGGATATAAATAAATAATATTCAGTTCCATCTGATGTCGTTTACATTAGCGGAAAGAAAAGTTATAATTTCGACGATGGTATGACAACCACCTGACTTGCTATTGACTATGTTCGGTGTAATGGGTCATATCATTATTTGTAGTTACAAACGTCCCCACTACCATGAACCGAGTTCGAGGTATCAATACAATAACCAAGCTGTATTTGTCTTCGATGCTTAAAGACATTTCTCAATTCTTGTACACTAAGCAAATGTTTAAACTGTTTCACTATTTTTTCTTTTCTTTTTTTTCCCCGCGTGGTCAGAAAGATACGTATCAAGCCCCTATAAGTTATAAGTGTTATCAAAATCTGTCTAGTGAATTTGAATTGTTAAAAATAATTGAACCGAAACGGTTTCTTTTTCCGAAATCGTCAATTAAATATGTGCAACTAAAAAATGTGCAATGTGTGATTTGAAAACGCTATATATTGACGCCGATATAAATCCTATTGGATTTAAACCAGAATCGCGACTTAACGCGACATCATTACTAACGTCATATAATGCTGTTTCCTGCTGATGAAAACGAATATACTTACCATTGATAAGAGAGTTTGGCGGTAGTGATATTGATCCTGTTTTACCGGGTTGCAGTGCTCCAACAGCCGTTGCAGCCATAGTAAAACTATAAAATAATAGAATAAATATACATGTTTGTATCACTCAGGAACTAACTTAAGAAATTAGATAATATCACGTTTGTATTTTAAACAGATTTATATGATGTTTCTACTATAGAATGTCAAATTTGAGCTTGATCATGTTTGCATCAAAGCAAAGCCGTGTATTTCGGCACTGAGTTTTATTAATACTAGTTATTGCACTGCTGTTGAGTACTTAGTTTTCGAAATACCGGGTATGAATAACTTAGTTGGTCCTAAATACCACTACCAAACAATGTAACGATTCACCAGAAACTGTCTATCAGCTGTATTGTGCAATAACATTCATTTTTGAATACTGTATCTATTCCCATCGTTGATTGGTGCAGTCACGTGCGTGTTTCTTACGTTCAACGTTCAACACAAATAATTGTTAAGAAAGACATCATACCGTGCGTGACTATTACAAAAGAATATAAAGATCAGATGACAAAATCAAAGACGTTCTAAGTGGAACAAATATACACAGGACCGGGCCAGGTATTATTTGAACCCTAAGCCGTCCCCAAGCCTTTCCCGATAAAACCAAGAAACAAAAGATACACAAAAACAACAAAAGGAACATAACACTACCTGTTGTTTACACTATCGACAAATCATGTAGCTACATGTACGTCTCTATAAATAGATATATTCACTATATATTCGTACCCCCATAATCGTTTCACACATATTTTCGAATATTCTACAATTTTCGAAACAATCTATGATTGAGTTATAAAGGAAATGCTATTTCAACAACGAATGTCTTCTGTAAGACTTTAACATAAAATCATATACTTAAGTTACTTCGTGCCAGTTTTTGACCTGCCATCCACAGTAAAGTAATACACACTATCTTTCAAGACTGAACACCTGATTTTTATAACTTCGAAACCGTTTATGTTTCACGTGCAGTGATTGTTCCTGTGAGTGGTGACAGATTATTGTTTCAAGTAAAAAGTGTTTTGAACTTCTTTCCTTTACTCGGTGATTCGTTTATATGTTTCCAAAAAACACGTGATTAAATTACCAAGACAAAAATAAAGGATATATTTATCTGATATTTGACATAGGTATCACTTATTCATTCTTTATCAGAAGTTTATACAGTAAATGGCTTATCGTGTGCGGATCACACAGAATCTTATGATACATGGAAATCTGAGATAAATTTTAAGAATTGACAAATGGATCATCTTCTAAACCGATTGTTCTTATTTCTTATAAAATGACGTCGAGAATTTTAAGTCGGTATAACATGAAGCTTTAAAACCCGGGTATACTTGTATTTGAAATGAGACACCGTATTTCAATGTTAACATATACACATTATGATGCTAGCAAGATAAACAAAGACATCAAATTTTATTGAGTTGGACCTGATCTGAGCACCAATATTGACAAGTGGTTAGGTTATCACGTGAAATTGACATTGTATTTCAATTTATAAAAAAAGAATAACGATAAGTTCGCATCTACGTCACAAGCTATTTACACATTTGTTAAACTATTGAAACATTGAACTTTTAAGAGACGTGCAGTAAATAATGCAGTTAAATAAGATTGATTAAACGGATATATACATTTAAAAGGTTGAAACCAGTTTATGAAAAGAAAAGTGGTGTGTAGCGAAGCATGTTGTGTACACTAATCTATTTATAGCATCGGTTGTGTATGTAGGATAGTGTTTACATATGTCGAGGTTAAATCAGTGTTGTAAGTTACATTCTAAAGGAAATGAGACAATTTGATGAACAACTTAATACTTAACAATGAAAATTATTGTTCCTTCGAGGGACTTGCTAGTAAGTATTGATTATACAGTAAGGTCCTATTTTGAAACACAATCTAGGTTACCTATTGTCTGTATATTAGAAACCAGTAATTGGTAATCAGGCATGCCTATATCATTTAAGATATAAGGCTATTATGGTCAAACTGTAGTATTGTCTTAGAGAAACATATACAATAAAACACCCGAGCGGTAAAACATTGAGATACATGTACCAATTCGATAGTACACAAGGACAGAATCAGAAGGTTAGCGGAATCACAACACCAAAGAACTGCCTTTAAATCATTCTAAAGATAGGTAATTGTTTGCTTTGACTGTATAATATTTACCTGTAGATAGTTACAAATTAGGACTGTGTGATGTACTCACCTGTAGATAAGTGTATGTTCTGATTTAACAAACAACCCACATTCGCCTTGTCACGTTACTTCCTCGTTTATAATCAGAACGATTCCTTATCAAGGGAAATAACTCACATAACATTATCTGGTTATAAGCCATCAAGGTATCACACAAGAATATATTTCACTATTAGTTAGTTTCGTCAATTAAAGCCACAAATACCATAAAAACGCCAGGAGTGGAGGAATTTGAATCAAGCGGTGTATATCGGTTCCGCAAATGCATCTATGCATAAATACATATTTGATCTTGATACTGGAGACATATTATTTTGAAGCAATTCACCTTTGAATATTCTAATGCATGCAATACATTTTATAAATGTTTTGATGTTAAAATAGTAGAACTCCTGACCTCGTTGATAGAACTTCAGTTACCATTTAACATGTCGACTGAACTGTACCACTGGAAAAGGAAAATGCTATCAGCTTGGAAAGACTGGCTGAGAAAACACTCTTTGTGTACAACTAAATGTACACGTGTCTTACTCAAATAAATACAGTAATTGCCAGCATACTTTGACGTACATTTCGATGAATCTGAACGCATCAGTGACATACAAATGGCCTTGAAAAGTATTAGTTTACGTTTAAACATAATGCTTATGAAAAATAGTTTCGCGTACTCCTAACGATATTTTAGATTTTAATTCGATTTAATACTTTTTGTAGAATAATCCATACCCTTAAGATATTATTTAATCCTGTTCAAATTTATTTAAAAGAAATGTCCAAATTCGCCAGATATTTCGTTTTTAATTATGTGGCTTCATTTAAAAAGGCGTCGATAGAAAATATGGTTAAGTCAATAACATTCGTCTGTGCATCTCAATAATTGTTTTTAGGGTCCCCGCATCACTGTCAAATACTGTTCCTGTGCATAGACATTTTTTAACGGCTTTGTAAATATCTTTCCTGTAAAGAAAACCAAACTAGGTTGAATTATATTGAAAACAAAATGACATCAGAAACAGTGCTCCAGATGAAACAATGCAACAGGGCCAGATCAGGTTTTGAACCCTGAAAGGTGAATCTGCTACCAATTCAGCTGTCACGGATGCATTATAGTCTGCTTTGCATTTTGTTTCACTAATAAACATTTAAAAAAATAGACACGTTGACATTTGATACTTTTGGAATGATTCCCTCCAGTTTATTGTATCTTTGCATTTGTAAACGCTTAAAAGTAGTTTGGGTCCATATGTTGTTTTGTCATTAGCTCTTCTTGGGAAAATTAATTGATATAGGGAAACGAAGACGTTTCCGAAATTTGATATACACCATGATCGTTTAAAGAATGGAAAAATCAAACGTTTTCAAAGAATGCACTTTATTTTTTAAGATTAATTACAGCATTATGTTTTATATTTTAAACCTCACATTTATTAAATGTTACTCCGGAGTAAACAGTGTCCAATAATACCTTTAATTAAATAATTACTCTAGTACAACATCACATACCAACAACACCTGTATTTAAAGAATTACTCTTGTACACCATCACATACCAACAACACCTTAATTTAAATAATCACTTAAGTACACCATCACATATCAACAACCCCTTTATTTAAATAACCACTCTAGTAAACCATTACATATCAACTTCACCTATCTAAATAATAACTCTAGTACGACGTCACATATCAGCAACACTTTTAATGACATATTTACTCTTGTACACCATCACATATCAACAACACCTATCTTACTAATAACTCTAGTACAACATCACATATCAACAACACTTTTATTTAAATACTTACTCTTTTACAACATCACATATCAGTTAACACTTATATTTAAATGATTAATCTTGTACTCCATCACATATCAAGAAAACCTTTATTTAAATGATTCCTTAAGTACGACATCACATATCAACAACACAACACAAAACTTTCATTAGAACCTTGAAAACATTTCATCACAAACAAAAACAATTATGGTTTACTAATGAGATATTTAAGTCAAATTGCAACAATACAAATATATTGATATATTATCTCTCATATACATTTTCTATTGTCAAAACCGCATTTTCTTAATAGATCTTCTAGTAAAGCATCAATTCAAAAATATACATCTATTGGAGTAGTATAGCGAGTACACACTACATCTATTGGAGTAGTATATCTAGTACACAATTCATCTATTGGAGTAGTATATCTAGTAAATAATACATCTATTGGAGTAGTATATCGGGTACACACTACATCTATTGGAGTAGTATATAGAGTACACAATACATCTATTAGAGTAGTATATCTAGTAAACAAGACATCTATTGGAGTAGTATATCTAGTACACAATTCATCTATTGGAGTAGTATATCGAGTTCACACTACATCTATTGGAGTAGTATATAGAGTACACAATACATCTATTAGAGTAGTATAGCGAGTACACAATACATCTATTGGAGTGGTATATCGAGTAAACAATACATCTATTAGAGTAGTATAGCGAGTACACAATACATCTATTGGAGTGGTATCTCGAGTACACAATACATCTAATGGAGTAGTCTATCGAGTACACAATACATCTATTAGAGTAGTATAGCGAGTACACAATACATCTATTGGAGTAGTAGATCTAGTAAACAATACATCTATTGAAGTGGTATATCTACTAAACAATTTATCATATCATCAATACATCTATTTTTACATTTATTGTAGTAAAACATTTCTTCACAACAACCCATATTAGTAGTATATCGAGTACACAATACATCTAATGGAGTAGTATAGCGAGTACACACTACATCTATTGGAGTAGTATATCTAGTACACAATTCATCTATTGGAGTAGTATATCGAGTACACACTACATCTATTGGAGTAGTATATCGGGTACACACTACATCTATTGGAGTGGTATATCGAGTACACAATACATCAACTGGAGTAGTATATCGAGTAAACAATACGTCTATTAGAGTAGTATATCGAGTAAACAATACGTCTATTAGAGTAGTATATCGAGTACACAATACATCTATTAGAGTAGTATAGCGAGTACACAATACATCTATTGGAGTAGTAGATCTAGTAAACAATACATCTATTAGAGTAGTATATCTAGTAAATAATACATCTATTGGAGTAGTATATCTAGTACACAATTCATCTATTGGAGTAGTATATCGAGAACACAATACATCTAATGGAGTAGTATAGCGAGTACACACTACATCTATTGGAGTGGTATATCGAGTAAACAATACATCTAATGGAGTAGTATATCAAGAAAACCTTTATTTAAATGATTCCTTAAGTACGACATCACATATCAACAACACAACACAAAACTTTCATTAGAACCTTGAAAACATTTCATCACAAAAAAAAACAATTATTGTTTACTAATGAGATATTTAAGTCAAATTGCAACAATACAAATATATTGATATATTATCTCTCATATACATTTTCTATTGTCAAAACCGCATTTTCTTAATAGATCTTCTAGTAAAGCATCAACTCAAAAATATACATCTATTGGAGTAGTATATCGAGTACACCCTACATCTATTGGAGTAGTATATAGAGTACACAATACATCTATTAGAGTAGTATATCGAGTACACACTACATAGATTGGAGTAGTATATCGAGTACACCCTACATCTATTGGAGTAGTATATCGAGTCCACAATACATCTATTGGAGTGGTATATCTAGTAAACAATACATCTATTGGAGTGGTATATCTACTAAACAATTTATCATATCATCAATACATCTATTTTTACATTTATTGTAGTAAAACATTTCTTCACAACAACCCATATTTATGTCTATATTCTGGTAAAGCATTTCACCATAGCAACACATATCTTAACGTTTATTCTGGTATAACATTTCCCTATAATAACATATATCTAAATCCATATTTTGGTAATACATTTCACCATAACAACATACATATACACGTGTATGCTGGTATAACATTTCCCTATAATAACATCTATCTAAATCTATATTCTGGTAATACATCTCAGCATAATAACATATTTGTAAACCAATATTCTGATAAAGCATTTCACCATAACAACATATATCTAAATCTGCTTCCCGGTAAAACATTGTTTATCGTGAGGACACATATTTATATGAAAAGTGTAGTAAATCAGAGTATCAACAGGTTTTGAACTGAACGTCTTCTCATTCCTTCGCATATTTTTTTTTGATATTGTTTAAGATGCTGTTGTTATTGCATTAATTTCATTTTTAGTTTTTTTCTTGTTGCAAATATATTTGTAGCATCGTGTCGTTAATTTGGACAAAATGTATAATACGGAGTAACAACATTGATAGTTCAAATTTGTATCCGAAGTAAAAGTATGGAAACACAATACGAGTTTCTATTTTCTATTCTTTAAAACACAGGAATAGGCTAAAGAAAAAAATATGTATTTATACAAAAGATTAACAATTTCCGATTGAGGGAGTGTTGTTGTTGTTAACATTTAATAAACGCATCAGTTCCTATAATGTTCGTAAATAATGTAACGGAAAGTATATGGATCTTGTATATCTTGTACAGTTGTGGGAACGCACAACGTTACACTATGTGTGGTGTGCGCGTGATGTGCGCACGGAGTGTGCAAAATGTGTGCACGGTGTGCGAACGATTAAAATCTGGACGATTATTGCTTGCACACATTTGTGCGGACGATGGACGAACGTTGTACGATGACAATCGTGGTTGGTGTAAATTGAGAAATGGCTTCACAGAAATACGGTTTCATGTTTAAATCCTTGATTTTTAAGTATATTTCTATATTCTGGCTTCATATTTACGCTGATCTTTGTATCTGTATCTTCGTAAATTTAGAAATTGTGTTTTTGGTTTTTTTAAACAACCCAAATCGACACATGTAAAATAATACATACATGTATTGACACGGTCACGTATACAGATCAACATAGCCAATTTGTCCCTGTACCTGGACCGTAGTTTCCCCCACCTCGGGGCATTTACGTAACCCGCCCAGGTGTGAAGATCCAGGTGAAGGGGTGATATATGATCAAAAATAATGCAAATAACC